TAATCCCAAAATAAATAAGTTTGGTGTTAACATTCTTCATCGGTGGTTCACCTTATGACCTAGAAAATAGTCTAAATATCGATATACATCTGTGAATCATTCTCCCAAACAATACTTCGAACAGCTGTGTCAATAATATTGTTTAAATATAAATTTAATGAAACAATACCATTTGTGTAACGCATCATAATTTAGTCATAATGAGATATAGTTAGGAAAGACATGTTACTGCCAGCGGCTCCGTCCGCAGTAACAGAGTAAAAAGTAGCCTATGATTCCAGACTATAATCTATCTCTGTGACAAATTTTATTCAGTCCCCGTTTAGTAGTTTTTGCGTAAAAAACTTTCAACTTTAATGTCTGCTCTGCCTGCTACTCTTGCTTATGGGCCCTAGGCGAGCTTGAAACTAAACGAGTAACGTCGTCGAATGACGTAAATAAGCTATTAATCATAATTAATCCCGAAAACGAAGCTGAGAATGTAATTAACAACTTTAAAATTTCGCCCATAATAGAGAATCTGAAATAACATTTTACTTTTCATATAAAACGAAGCGATTAATAGCAAAATGGTTTGCAACTGTGAGATGAACTTGCTGCTGCAAAACTGCTGCAAATGTTACTTACGGAATTTCCGAAATTGTTAAGGCTAATTCTCATTTTGGCGATCGACTCCCTAATGGAATATTTCTCAGTTTATGGATACTTTTAAATGTGGGAGAGCCATGCTTCGGCACGAATGGCTCGGTTCGACCGGAGTGATACCATGGCCTCACAGAAAATCGCCGTGAAACCACCAAGGTTATCGGAGGCAAAATCCTACCCCTTCCCCAATCCCTAAATCTCCAAATCCCTGATCCCCAAAAGGTCGGCAACGCATTCGTAACTCCTCAGTTATTGCGGGTGTCCATGGGTGGCGCTGATTGCTTACCATCAGGTAATCCGTAAGCACGTTTACCGATCTACCATCAAACGCAGTTTTTAAGCCGGTCACGTACCTGTAGTTCCTTAGGTGTTTCGGAACTTCCGACCCAATGACACTCGTTTATGGGCAGCGCTGATTCCTTAACATCAGGTGATCTGTCTGCTAGTCGGCCCATCAATCCTACTTATTAAAGAGTATGCGAAAATGATAAATTAAAAGGGCGAATATTTTTGAATAGTAGGTAACTATCGTGAGACATACAATTTTTTTTTTTAACTTAGAAAAGCTCTTCTAGATTCAAGTCACAACGGGACTCTTATTCATCAGCGACTCAGTCACGTTCACGTCAGTAAGTTTTTTAATTTCAATAACACGAAAATATGGACATGGATATTTTTAAACATTATTTTCTAAAATTGATTAGTTGATAGCAGATTACTTGTAAAAGTCTCAGAACTTTTAATTCGTCAAGTTTTGGCTCACATCTATGCATCTATACTAATATTATAAAGCTGTAGAGTTAGTTTGAAAGCGCTAATCTCCGAAACGACTGGTTCATTCATTAATTCAACGGTGAATTGAACAATTATTGTTTTTGTGTTCGTGTTGTGTAAATTTATCGAGGAAGGCTTTAAAACATCACGCTACAATCAAACGGAGCTTTTTTTTGTGAGGGGAAAATCATCAAATGACTTCTCCCGGCCTGGGTCAGGCGGGAGGGACCAGAGACTCTTACTGACTAAAAACGGCCCCGTTCTTTCCGCGGTGCCTCATTGCGCTTGTCCCGTAAGATCAAACGGACTTGAGCAGCTAGTTTATGTCATAAAGTTAGCGGTGAACGGATCAATAGGCTCTCTTGACACAACATTATAACAGCTATAGTCCAAGTAACCGGCTACCATAACAAATGCTGCAATACAGTATGTTTGTAATCAATGACGTTCTTCTACTGTCAATACATTGTTTTCATCACGCTTACATTGATGCGCTGGTTGTTGATTTTGAGCATATAACATCATGATTGGCAAACTAAATGAGTTCATAACTAAAAAAAATGTCCTTGTCGTCATCAGGAGAAATTGGACATGTATAATGATGCCGAACTCGATTTTTTTGGGAAAATCTAGCCCCAAATTCCTTCAAACACTGCAACCTCTCTGCAGGTCAGGATCTACAGTAGATACAACCATGGAAACACCGGGACGTTGAAGTACGGCGCGTCCCTGGGACATGAATGACTGTCTTGGATTCCGCAACGAAATAAATCAGAAGATAATATTTGAGGAGAACAAAAAACTAGATAGTTTTCACTTCCTTCGGTAAATTTAATACAGGAAACAGAATACTTAAGCTTAAAAGGCTTAAGGCCAAACTTGGTGTGCTCACGTTGTGTTTCGGTTACCGAAGACAAAAACCCTTCCGCATCACATCAAATTTGCAATCCTCAAATCACTAACACCCTGCTGGCGCTGGCGAAGCGTTAGTAACTCTTCCGGAGTTCAAGTGTCCATGGGTGGCGCCTATTGCTTTCCATCAGTGGAGCCGTCTGCTCGCTTGTCTAGGTTTAACATAAAAAAGGAGCCAGCCTAAGGATTATTACTAATTATAACCTCTTTTCATTTGACCTTCGAAGTGGGTATGTAGAATCTCCTCACTATAGCCAGTTTTGAAATAAATCCCCGTGTATTCGGCGTCTTCTTTAAGGAGGAAATCATTTAAAGGCTTCTGCCACTGTGAATGCGGCGAAAGGGAGTGCTAGTCTTACTGACTAAAAATCACCCCGTTCCATCTCTTGCTTTGGCTGGGGCCCCGGTCTATTATGGCGCTTGACTCGTAACCTCGGATTTGCCAAGTTTAATGATGAAACAATTGAAATGATGCTTAGAAGTCTTTGTAATTCAGATTCTTACGGCCTTACAAAATAAGGGATATCTTTAGTCTAGGTCTAAACCATTGAGCTAGTTTTTGTATCTTAAATTGAAGGTAGGTGAGAATAAGATTGACTGCATGGATGGCGTGGTGGCTGGGCAACTGGCTGCCGTGCAACGTGTCGCGGGTTCGATTCCCGCACGGAACAACTCTTTGTGTGATCCACAAATTGTTGTTCCGGGTCTGGGTGTCATGTGTATGTGAAAATGTATGTTTGTAAACGCATCCACGACACAGGAGAAAAATTCTAGTGTTGGGCAACCTTTTATTTGAAATAATAAAGAAAATATTTATACAAAACCTGGCCCAATGGTTTGAGCCTAGACTAAAGATAAGTCTAGTTTTGTTGTAAGAAGATTAAGATTTTATCGCACATTTTATTACAGACCGTTACTGTACTTAAGATTTGAATTCAATATCGTGTTTGAATGCAATAATTGAGCGCAAGCGCATAATACGTGGTAATATGATTCATATTGCTATTCTGTGCTAGCATAGAATTAGGCTACAGGTTTTTATGATGTAATGATCAGTGTCAGACACGCAAACGTTTTTTTGTAAGGTCAATGTACACGTATTTGGAGGCAAAGTGTAAAATATTGTGTAATAAACACAAAAAAGTATGAATTAACCTGGCTTTTTTAAGAATATGATACCTACATTCGCTCATTTTTATGCGGATGTCCCTGTCTGTATAACAAATACGTTTTTTTTTGTTGCCGGCCAACAAACTGATATCCTTAATGCCAGAGGAGTTAGAAGTATAAGGGCCAGTATTTGGTGGTTGTTAGGGATTAGAGACAGGAGGAAACGCAACGTCGTCATATCAGTTTCAAGATGACGACCGCTTAACATTGGCCTGCCCTAATGACCGCCGATTGGCCGTTTGGAATCATAGTCAAAGTCAAAATCATTTATGTCTACTAAACCATAAATAGTTACTTTTGAAACGTCAAAATAGAATAGTAGTCTGTCAGTCTGTTCTTCAGTGACGCTAGGTGCTCATTCCAAAGTGTAGATTCGAATGGAGAAGAACGAGGAAGAAACACCATCGTTGCTCTTTAAAAAAAAAATTTGTTTAGTTAAGTCCTTGCTGTGTGTGCAAATATTTTACTGATAACGGAACTAGCAACAACGCTACTGAAATTGAGGAAAAACGTGACTCTGACTCACATTTTATTGAAGCAATTTTCTATAAACTATATCGTTTATATCAAAATGCTTAAATGTTTGCGGATATGTGTAAAATGGCGATATTGGTAGCTTTTTCCTTTAAGTCGATACAGAGTTTCAGACTCTTACTGACTAAAACCAGTTCATTGTTTCTCCTGCTCCGTGTCGGGGCCTTAGTCATTGACAGACACTCCCTCGTCCCATCTTGGGCGGGAGAAGGCATTGGATGATAAGTAGTGGATCGTCTAGGGCTAGAGATATTTACCTGAATTTTCCTAGCGATAGTTGAGAAACGAGTTTTTAAATCGCAAAAATCTAGGAGAATATATTACTGTGTAAACATATGTGTATTGCGTGATACCATATGACCGCATATCGACCCGACCTTTAGATAAAGTTCAAACTGTAAAAACATTATCTCTAGCCTTTGTTAGCATTGCTCTATTTGCGTTGAAAATAGATTAATGAGATCGCGTCAAAGAAAATAAGAGTTTTGTATTATAGAGGGCGTTTAAGTGAAAGTGTGTAGGTCGAAAATGGATTTTTTTATTGGGTCACTTCTTTGTCCAGTAAAAAGAAAGTATCAGGAAAAAGAAACAGGAAAACCGAAAAAAATTAATCAGTTTTGGCCTTCAAAACGTCTAACTACACTATTTTTTATATACATATGTACTAGCGACCCGTGCCCGCTTCGCACTGGTGCCATGCTGAAACTAAATTAATCCATTAATTAATAGATTTTATTATACATATAAACCACCCTATACAATCACTCTATCTATTAAAATAATTACCGAACCGAACCGAAAGATTTTAGCATACGTAGGGACATAAGGACAAAGAAAGCGACTTTGTTTTATACTATGTAATAATGAAATTTCCATAGATCCTTTCTGTACATTTTGATCTACATCTGTTTTCAATTAACGATACATATTAACAACCAACCACTTTGATTGTATTTGTTTCCTAGGTTCGACAGTAAAGCGGGCAAGTCCAGAATTGACTACTATGGAGGCATGGTCAAGACGTACCAGCTTTCGGCGGCTGTGTACAAACCCTACGGTACATCGATCAAGGTGAGTGAAAGAAATAGAAAAGAAAAATATTTCCCATGCTAATATACAAAAGATAAGCATAGAGTACTTACTGAATGACAGTCAAGCGTCTAGCTTCTCTGACGAACTGACTGACAGAAAATGCGACTATTTTGTCGTTTTAAAAGTATCTATTAATGGTTGAGTGATGACAAATGATTTTGACTTTGACTTTTGACTTTCACTTTGACGTTGACTTTGACTTTGACGCTGACTCTTGACTTTTTACTTTGACTTTGACTTTGATTTTGACTTTATCTTTTAACTTTGACTTTTATTTAGAAAAAATGTATGACTGAATGTTTTATTTATTTTGAGCTATGGATGCTAATGCGGATCCATAGGGAGTGAAAGAAATGGCAAGGTTTTAGTAGGTTTTAGTATTTTGTTCTCCAACGAATTAGAAATTAGTCTGGATAAGACTCAGTGAGAAAAAATTAGGAAATAAATTTTAATATTGCCTATTAATTTTATAATATATTTTTGGAGGATTATTAATCTGCTTAAATCATCTATATTCCGTCTGCAGATCGCTCCAGTCACCACAGAGGAGGTCCTCAACCAGGATACATGTCTGCAAGTCAACGGAAGTAGTGACAACAGCGTTGCTATCCAAACTGTACTGCCAGATATGACAGACTTCAAATATATTGGTAAGTTTTTTCAGATATCCTTATTCCAGGACTCAATTTATTATTTTTTCAGTATTAGAAATTATGTAAGAACTGTAGCTAGGAACCGAAGAAGGAACAGGGTGGTTAGTGGTCAGTAAAAGTCTGATACTGTATGATGATGGATGTATAAAATAATTTTGAATATAGAAAGTAATTTATATGCATATATATCACAAAATTCACATTTTTGTCATTTTGAAATAAGTAATGAATTTGACTAGTTTTACAGTGATTTTGATGTGTATTATTCAAGCTTTTAATCTATTTTTTGTTTATTTAAATAACAGGTACAGAAACAATGCAAGACTCGGAGACAGCGAAATGGCAATTCGTACAGGTGATTGGGCAGAAACTGAACAAATACACAATGTGGGTGAAGTACAAGAAATCGTTGAAGGAACGCAGCGTGTCCGTGCCTATTCCCGTCAGGTAATATTTCTATCAATACAATTGTGTTTTATCAATTTAATCAAAGTATAGGTATGAAGACCGACCTTCAAACCTTCAAGAAAGGTGCGTACTCCTTTTTAGAAGGCTGCCGAAGGTGATCAGGTGATTCGTCTGGTCGTTTGCCTCCTATTCCAGTAAAATGCATAACATGTATTATATATTTTTCTTTTCATATTTATCATGATTTGAAATATGACGCAGTGAACTCCCACTCCTAAAGTTATTTTGTTTTTCTATTAGATCATCATTTTGTTTTACAAACAAAGGGTTTATTATATGTAAGTTTATATATGTAAGTGTGAGAAGAGTTTGAATGAGTAAATGTGAGTTTAAGTGAATGAATCTGTGTTTAAGCGAGTGAATGAATGTGTGGTAAGTGAGTGAATGTGAGTTTAAGTGAATTTGTGTAAGGTGAGTTTAAGTGAGTGTATGAATGAATGTGTGTTAAGGTAAGTAAGGTAAGTGAGTAAATTTGTTTTAAGGTGAGTGATTGTGAGTGAATTTGTTTTAAGGTGAGTGAATGTGAGTTTATGTGAGTGAATGTGTGTTAAGGTGAATGGATGTGAAACTTACTCTAAGGATTACTAAAAGACAAAAAAAATTGATGTTTTTCATTCAAAGTTTCATGACATATTCGAAAATAAAAGTCAAAATCTTAAGGTGCTTTAAAAACGTCAATGTTGAATTGTCTATCAATGAAGCTAGTTGCTCGTTCTAAAATGTATATTCGTATCGAGTATATATTTATTGATAATTTAATTTTATTCCCAGGTACGAGATGAAAGGTTACAACTCACTGCTGGGCTCCCACTATGACCATTACTACATTGATTATGTAGACTATGATGTAGAGGACATTGACCCCAATGTTTTCAATGTTGATCCCGGTAAGTTCAATAATTTGACTAGTACCAATGTGCCTAATAATTGTATTCATAATCCCAATCCTTTCCCTCTCCTGATCCCTCCCCAATCCCTAAAGCTCTTATACCCTAATCCTTCGCTGCGTAACCTGTCCGCTTATTTTGCCGACTTATTAAAAAAAATAGTTTCTCTACATTGTTGCATATACTACAATTAAGAATTTACTTAAAAAAAATATGTAGAGATATTTTTGTTGTAGCTTTAAGTTTATGGGCAGAAAAGTGTCTTATAATTTAATATCAGTAATATCATAAACAGTAGTATCAGGATACAATAATAGTCATAGCGTCTACAAGAGGACTCGCAGACCGCTGGTTCAAATCCAGCATATAAGTATTAGTCTCTTATTTGACCCCAGAATCCTCAAACACTATAGTTCGTTCCATAATTAGAGACAACGACTTGACATTTCGAGTGTTGCATGTTTTTTCCATTTCATAAATAGTGAAGTCCCGCGACCGGTATTAACCGAAAGACCGAAAATCATTTGTATAACTATTACCTATTAGCATTGATATGATATAATTATTTTACAAGAAACTATGGGCAGCTTTGGCATTTTCTTACATTTCACATATGGAATGTCAAACATGATTTAAGCCTAGAAATACGTTGGTATTGGTTTCTATAATTATAAAAACAATGTCTGTCAGTCAGATTGTAATATCACTCCCATCCGATCTCTGATCTCTTCACATTGCTCCGAGTATATTTAGTTGTGATAATCTTCAAGTCGTTTTTTAGCATCATATATTAATAACTAGGTGCAATTATTCTATAAAAACATCCCCGCAACTTTTTTTTGTTTTGCTCAGGGTAATTGATAAAAAAACGGTATTGGTATTTTAAAACATCGTACTCGGGCCCATCACTATGTTAAAAAATCTGGCCACATTATTTTGTAGTTTGACATTAGCAGTTGTCAAATTTTTGTCTCTAATTATGGAATGAACTATAAGTCACTATATTTTTTTTATACTGAAGCTTTGATAATCACCATTAACATTTCAATTCATTATTATTATTACTCTTCTTCCAGCCATGCACTGTTCCTCGTTCCCCGGCCCCGGCGCCCGCCACTACGCGACCTTCAACCCTATGATGGAGTTTGTGCACCCAGCTAAGGACGAACATGTTATTAATGAGTTTGACAGGTATATATAATTCAGGATCCTTACAACCAAAACAAATCATCATCGTCAGCCGCACTGCTGAGCAAAGACTTCTTACATCGAGAAGAATTGACAACGACGCTTTTTTGTATATGATAGGACGGCAAATCAACGGACGCGTATTACCTGATGGGAAGCAATCGCCAACGCCTATGAATTCCCGCAACACCAGCTAGCCTTTTGGGGATTAGGGTTTCGGAGATTTAGGGATTGGGACGGGACCCTCACCCACATGGCGGAACACAAAGCTGTGTTTGTTTCACGCCGGCTTTCTATGAGTCCTTGGTTCGAACCGACCCATTCCTGCCGAAGCATTTGTCTCTCACACATACAGCTGCGAGAAAGTCGTGATCTATACTAATATTATAAAGAGGTAAAATTTGTAAGTTTGTATGTAGGTGGTAATCTTTGGAACCGCTGGTCGGTTTGCCAAAATTCTTTCACTCATAGATAGCCACATTGTTCCTGAGTGCTATAGGCTATAAAATGTCACGCTACGATTAAATGGAGCTGAGCAGCGGGTGAAACCGCGCGAGAATGGCTAATTTTTAATAAATTTAGTTTGTCTTACGATTTATTATACAAAAACTAACGCTTGCTTATATTTTTCCTAAGACAATCTTCAATATATTGTATTATGTTACAGGTTCAAGACTAAGCACGGTAAACAATACGCCAGTGACGTGGAACATGAAAAGAGGCTGAACATCTTCAGGCAGAATCTCAGGTGAGACGTATTTCTAGTACATCATCAGCGTATAAGTGTTGCTGCTGGGCAAAAGCCTATACTGAAGTATCGACCTGTTTAATAGATGGGACAGGATACATAGGTAGTGCATAAATTCGATGTTCATTGCGCAAAAATGGGATGGTCATTGCGCAGAATTTCGATGATCATATATCAAACTCTTTGTGGTAATTGTGCAAACTTTGGATGGTAGTCACGCAAACTTCCGATTGTGGTTGCGCAAACTTTCGATGGTAGTCGCGCAAACTTCCTATGGTGATTGCGCAAACTTCCGATTGTGATTGCGCTAACTTTCCACGGTAATTGGGCAACACTGTCGATCTTCATATCGCAAACTTAAAATGGTTATTGCACAAACCCTTTAAGTTCTTTGCGTAATTTTTCAATTGTAATTGCGCAAACTCTCGATGGTAACTGTGCAAAGTTTATACACTATTTATTATTGTTACAATACCTTAACATAATTACTGAATCAATATGCTTGTCCCCAGATACATCTTCTCCCACAACCGCGCCCGGCGTACGTTCACGATGGCAGTGAACCACCTGGCGGACCGCACCGACACGGAGCTAGCCGCGCTGCGGGGCCGTCGGTACTCCGGACCTAACCATGGTAACTTACATACCTCCCACCATTGTTGCAGATTTTAGGATTTCGGTGGGAAAGGATCTATCCGGTAATCTCACTCACACGGCGAGACACAACGCTATAATTGTTTGTTTATTGCTGACCCAATGACATAAAAAAATTGACGTCTTTCGGCTAGTGCTGATGTTGATGATTTAAATACTTGCTTAATTAATTAATGATGTATGTCATGTCTGCAGGTCTACTGTTCCCGTATAGCCAGTCGCTGGTTGAGGAAGAATCGGATAAGTTGCCCAGTGAACACGATTGGAGACTATTCGGGGCTGTCACGCCCGTCAAAGGTAAATATTGAATTAATATTATTATTATTTATTATGTTGTCGTGGTCCGGAGGTTGATACATACGATTCTCATGTATGAGGACGCAGCAATGCATTCGTAGTAAATTCTTTTGTACTGCGAGTGTCTGTAGGCGACGTGGATTGTTCCCCATCAGGTAATCAGTTCGGTGTGCCTTGCTTGGGCTGAGCACCGCCGCGTCCTCAGGGAAGTGATCGGCGGCGGCGACCTCTCGCGCCCGGCCTTAGTCGAGGCCATGGTGCGGAGTTAGAGGAACTAGGACGCCGTCTCCTCCTTCTGTGAAGCAATTATGCTCGCAAAGATGGAGGCGGACCGCGTGAGGAAGTAATCCTCCTCCTCACGCCCCAGCCGCCGCTGTAGGTGACACTTTGGGCGTCTAGGATCGAGAAACGATCTCCGGCCATCTAGAGCGCTGGGCTAAGGATGGCGTTGCGTGGTAGGCGCATTGTGGCACCGTGGCTCCGGCCTAAATCAGGAAGCCAAAACGGAGGGGGGGGGGGGTTAAGTCAGTAACAGTCTGACCCTCTCTCTCGCCTCACCCTGGACGGCAGAAGTCATTTGATGTGTTTACCCTGACAGAAAAAATGCAATCAAAATCAAAGTTGTAATCAAAGTGGTGTATTTTTGTTTCTTTCAGATCAGTCAGTATGTGGTTCCTGTTGGTCTTTCGGTACGACCGGTGCAGTAGAAGGAGCGTTGTTCCTAAGCAACGGAGGGAAATTGGAGAGACTGTCGCAACAGGCGCTCGTTGACTGTTCCTGGGGGTAAGCAGAGATATATCCTTTTTTATGAGATAGGACGGCAAACGAGCTGACGGGTTTCCTGATGGTAAGCAATCGGCGCCGCCCATGGACACTCGCATTGAAGGAGGAGTTACGAGTACGTTGCCTTCCTTTTCGGGTTTGGGAGGGATTTGGAGAGGGGAAGGATGGGCCTCCGGTAATCTCCCTCACACAGCGAGACAACATTGTAATTGTTGTTGTATCACTCCGGCCAAGCCGTCAGCAATAAGTACGCAAAATAAATAAACTGACGTCACAAACTTCAAAAATTTCTACAAAATTCTTAGATAATTTTGCATTTTGACATTTATTTTGCAAAAAGTTTAAATTTAGTAAGTCTCAAAATTTTTATTCTATAATCACTTTTCTTAACTAACACACAACTGTAAGTTGATTTAGTAAAAACGAAGTTGTTTTATTTTATATATATATTTTTGTATTCCAGTTTCGGTAACAATGGCTGTGATGGTGGCGAGGACTTCAGAGCTTACCAATGGATCATGAAACATGGTCTGCCTACTGAAGAATCGTATGGCGATTACTTAGGACAGGTGGGTTTCAAGTTAGGGGCCATTGACTTAGAAAAGGAAGAAAGACTAATATTTATTTGGCACAAAGACACATATTAAACAAAACATTTATCTTAAACAATAATGGAGAAAATAAGAAATAATTAAAACTGTTCAACGGGCCTCTGCGAGTTGCCTTTGGCCCCTCGTACGCCTACCAAAGGTCCGGGATCCTATGATCCCGTGAAACAATCGATAAAAAACACTGCGTGTCTCACGGCTGCGCCAAATAGGTCCAGATAAACATATTTTATTTTAACCTTGCTCCACTTTTGGATTTTCTCCTGTGTTGTGGGTGCGTTTACAAACATACAATGTCACATACACATGACACCCTAGAAAATGCTAGAAAATGTTGCCTGACGCTTGTTTTCAACTGACCTCTAAAACCAAGTGAACGCTTATATTTAGTTGTAGCATACTCGCATCCTTGCTGCTTTTAACGAAATAACACAGCCCCGACTTTTTTATGGTAGGCTATACCTAACATAAAAAAGTCGGGGCTGTCGGCAACCGAGCAGACGGATTACCTGATGGTAAGCAATCAGCGCCGCCCATGGACAGCCGCAACGCACAAAGGAGTAACGAGTATGTTGCCGGCGTTTTAGGGATAAAGGTGTCGGATATTTAAGGATTGGGAAGAGATGGGGAGGAGGGATTGGGCCTCCGGTAACCTCACTCACACGGCGAAACATAACGTATGCTCCGGTCGAGCTGACCGTTGGAACTGAACTCTTAAACTGAGACTTTGAAGTCAAAGTCAAGTAGAACATTCAATGGCACTTTCCAATATTCCAAAAATGTATTAACACTTTTGGAATGTTGACTGCTTTTCCTAAGAGATACTAATAATTATATTTGTTCCAGGATGGATACTGTCATTTAGACAACGTCAGCATCGCGACCAAGATCAAGGGATGGGTGAATGTCACCAGCAATGATGAGAAGGCTCTCAGGGTAAGTTGCGGAAGATAACGAGCAACTTGGCTTACTAAAATTTTGCATAAATGCGTGAAAAATTGGATATTTTCATAAACATGAAGGATAAGAAACAAGCAAATATTCCAAGGAAGTAATGTTCTAAACTTACTATGAATAATACATAATTCATTTGTGGTAGATAAAAATAAAAACTCTATTTTTAATGTAAATTTAGCAGTACATATTTATACATTTTTTTTTATTTATTTATTGATATTTTTATTAGGATTTTTGTCATAAATATGTTATTGTTAGTGTCAGGACCATGTGAGATTTTGCCGCGCTTTTCGACTAAGTACCTATTATCTGGGTTCTGATAGTTTGAGTACTTGTGCGACCCACCCAAATGTTCTTTTCATCGGTATTGCTCGTCGGATAACTCAGCAACACACAACAGACACTTGCGTGCCTTTCTTTAGAACGGGTCCACTTAAACTGGTGTGGTTCTTTCCTCAAAAGACCACTACAGAATGACCTTGCACGGTTCTTTCACATTATATTATTTTTAACATTGTCTGGCCTTGAAAAGAGACGGATCTCTGAGTTTGTTTCGGCGAGCTCTCACGCCGGTTTTCTGTGAGGCAGAGGTTTCCCTCCGGTCGAGCCGACTCATTCGTGGCTCTCCCACACTAAGTTTATATTATTGTTTTTTTTTCTAGCTGGCAATCTTCAAGCACGGTCCTATATCCGTAGCTATTGACGCGGCGCATAAGTCCTTCAGTTTCTACTCCAATGGCGTCTACTACGAGCCAGAGTGGTAAGTTATATAGTAACTAGCGACCTGCCCTTGCTTCTTTGCCCTTCGCACGGGTAGCTAAATATTTGTTCAGCTTCAAAAAGAGATCCATTTAAACATAAATATTTCTTCATTCCAGCCACAACAAAATCGACGAGCTGGACCACGCAGTTCTAGCAGTGGGCTACGGCATCCTCAAGGGTCAGAAGTACTGGCTGGTCAAGAACTCGTGGTCTAACATGTGGGGTAACGATGGATACGTCCTCATGTCCACGAAGGACAATAACTGTGGGGTTCAGACTGCCCCCACCTATGTTTTAATATAGGTTAAGAGTAGGAACCGGTCTTACCCCCTTTAGTGAGGTCCCTAATAAGACTTTTGAGCCTGTACAGGACACGGGTTTCAAAACAAACTATTTGCGACGTAATGATTGTATTCAAGTTTAATAGAATGCAAAAGTACCTTTATCAGTTTCTTATTTTGAATTTCAACCCAAAAACTGGGTAGGGTAAGAGTCTGTTGGGTAAGATCGGTTTTAATAGGGTAAGGTAATTATGTATTTCAGTTTCCAGTTAATATTTAACAGTTAATTGTCAATTACAAAGATAGTGTTGTTAGAAGAGAAAAATAGTTGATCCTTATTGTCGAATGTTCATTGCAATATTGAATTCAAAGTTAATACATATTTTATTATATAAAAAAATATTAATAAAATAAAGAAAGGAAATGTATAATTGTAATGTATGTAGCTAACAAAGAATTTATAATATATTTTTTATGTATAATATGGCCGAATCTGTTGATCAAAGTAGGTTAATATAATAATTATCTAATATTAATAATAGTGTCCAATGAATCCAAAGGCGTCTCTTGTTTTATTAATAAGAGGTTTTCTTGATTTATTATATAATTACTAATTGCAATTTATTATGTTGATTAATATTTTTATTATATTCAGTTTATAATTATATTAAAACAAATCTCAAGGATTTTTTGTTTATAAGTGTTTTTGAGTTTGCCAGGAACCTCTAAAAACTTGATTGTTTTTAAAATAAAGAGTCGAGTAACAATGTATTATAAAAAAAACCTCAAAAACACATATCTTTAATCTTCAAATATCTTGTTATCTGAGATGTAAAAACTTTTGCGAATAATTAATATTAATTTTAATAAAATATTTTTTTTTTATTTAAATGCAAAGTGATGATACAATATGTATTTTATATAAATATGTAGGTACAAAATAATAGATAAACAATATTTCTGGAATTTTTTTTCTAAAACAGACTAAATATTCGCTTTGAGTGTTGCCATGTCTAAAAATTCACTTAAGTGGCTTGTCTATGTTTGTAAGTGAAAGAAATCTCTTTATTTTGTAAGATTTATAAGAATTTTGTATCAGGCTGTGTTTGGCTTCGCTCTCTGGTTATAAGAAATACATTTTTATATTAAAATATTTTGTTGTTGTTTTATTTATCTTTTATACAGGTTGCCTATGTAACTTTCTAGGGTTCTGACTTTCCTGATATTTTTGAGGGGGGAGGGAATCATCAAATGACGTGTCACTCCCTAGATGGGGCAAGAGGCAGTATAAGATTCTTACTGACTGTTTAGTCAGTCTTCGGTGTAAAGTGTAATGTCATACTGAGCCCCGGCTTGGCTTTGGAGCAAGAGGGGTTTTATCAGTAAGAGTGACTCTCCCTCTGGACTTCACCTAGAACGGAGGAGTCATTCGTTGATTTCTGCCTCACTCCTCAAAAAAGACTAACTACTGTCACAAAAACCATCGTACCATGTTGACAAACAGACACAGTTTCACATTTATATTTTAATAAAGATGAATTGATATTATTCTACCAAGGAAAATATATTCAAATGCTGAATCAACTACACTAAAAATACTAATGTATATTTTTAAATTTTGACAGACGTTAAGTTAAAAAAAATAGATAACTTGTTAGCTTCACTTTTAACATATTTAATTTCTTTTCATTGTCGTCAACAATTAACAGAAAGAACGTTTAAATTATTAATAATGCTGTTTTCGCTTTGGATGCGTCCCTAATCTTCTTGCCTGTTTACGATGTCCGATCGGGGAGACACACATGTTGCCGAGCTTGACGAGATCACCTGGACAGTCATCTTGGAAAATTGTTTTTTCATACTGAAAAAATTTGAGAAAATTCATCAACAGCCCATGATAAGATGGTCACTATAATTATATATATTTAAGTGTGGGAGAGCTAAGCTTCGACACGAATGGGTCGGCTCGACCTGAGTGATACCACGGCCTAACAGAAAACCGGTGTGAAACAAACGCAGCTTTGTGTTTCGCAGTGTGAGTGAGGTTACCGAAGGCCCAATCCCTCCCTCTCCACTATTTCCCAATCCTTAGGTAAATATCCGCAATCCTTATCCCCAAATGGCTGGCAACGCACTTGTAACTCTTGGTGTCCTTGGGCGGCGCCGATTGCTTACCATCAGATAATACGTGTGATCGGTTGCCGACTTATTCCATAAAAAAACAAAATAATCACTACGCCTGGCAGTCAACGAAAGATCACAATTTCAAAGGTTCAGATATACCACAAGTCAGGTTTATTAGAAGTGCGTTGAACAATACGATTAAGATCCTTGATTTCATTACACTTTAGCCCCCCCCCCCCTTTCAGTAGGTACGATTAGGCAAAAGAGGATTTAGCAATCTATAATACCGCCGCTGCAATACAGTTAGCCGTTTGTCTAGTAATGGGTCTTTTAGGAACAAAATTGTGTACTGCGCAGCTAATCGGCTAACTTCAGACTCGCCAAGATACGTCGGCGGTATTGTAGATTGCTAAATCCTCTTTTGGCTTCGATAAAGACCAAGTGACATGGCCCCATCTCCTCCCTATGGCTGGTCTTTAGTTGATCATCATCATCATCATCAGCCTATTAGTGCCCACTGGTGAGAAAAAGGCCTCTTTTCACACGGAGAAGATTTTAGCATTAATTACCACGCTTGTTCAAGGCGAATTGGCGATTTCCTGCCTTTACCTCTGCCTTTACTTACCGTCCAATAATTCCAAAATGGATTATCAGGTATTATGCGTTTTGGACTAGGAGGTTCTGTGGTCTTTGGCTGATGTGGTAAATAGTTCTCTGGAATATTGCCCGGAGCGAAAGGGTCGTTCATCTCTCCAGACCTCTCCAGAAACCTTAACTGTTTTATTTTGTCCTTTACATTTAGATTGTTTAGATAGGACTTGAATCTCTTTTTGGTCTTTTTCCATTTACTTTTCTGTTGGACATATTTCGTGATCTCTGGTAGCAGATGTCCTTTATGGTTTATTTTAGTGAGAACTATCAAGTCGCTGTTGGTATTAGGTATCTTTTGTACCGGTTTCATCCCCTTCACCATTGACATCTCGTGCTCAGTAGTGGTCGTGCCGACGTGGTATCTAAACAGGGGTTTGAACACAGTGTTCAGCCGGGAGTCATACTCGTATTCTCCCGTCTTGTACCCGTGAGGGATGATCCTCTTCACGAACATTGACTTGCCTACGGGTTGGAATCTGTGTCGGCTTTTCCGCAGCCTGACTTCCGCATAGTTTGGTATTTCGTAGCCTTGTAGGACTCGCCTTAGCATCGGCACCACTTCATTGGCTTCCAGATGGTGCACTCGGTAGGACCATGCTATGTGTAGAACGTGCAGGATTATGATCACACATATTTTCATATATAATTGTTGAAACATTGATGGAGGTGTATTCGTGTGTTCGGTGTTTCATTGATTCCAATCAAGGAAGTATTTCAGGCATGTCATTGGCATTACGTTAATCTCGTCAAGTGTTTTATTTTATGTGATACTAACTGTGCCTGAGGTTTCGCTTGCGTTAATCACGTAGTAACACGTTTCCAAGGGAGTTGCCGGGCTTTTAGGATTGGGTTTCGGAGTTTTGGGGTTTGGGGGAGATGGAAAAAGGTTGGACCTGTTTCATTCAGAAAATAGAATAAAATTTGGAAATGGAAACAAGAGAGAGAGAGAGAGAGAGAGAGAGAGAGAGAGAGAGAGAGAGTGAGAGAGAGAGATAGAGAGAGAGAGAGAGAGAGAGAGAGAGAGAGAGAGAGAGAGAGAGAGAGAGAGAGAGAGAGAGAGAGAGAGAGAGAGAGAGAGAGAGAGAGAGAGAGAGAGAGAGAGAGAGAGAGAGAGAGAGAGAGAGAGAGAGAGAGAGAGAGAGAGAGAAATAGAGAGAGAGAGAAGTAGCTAACGTCACTCTCAGTCCCTTGAACTATCTTCACATCAAATCACGCCATTTCGTCGCTCCGTTTAGCCGTGAAAGACAGACAAAAAGACACATTGATTGTCCCATTTATAATATTAATATGGAATTAAGCTAAGTGTAGTAACGTTAATGTAAATATTGTCTTAATTTGTGTGTGTAAGTGGAAGTGGGCAAATTATTTTTATTTTTAGGTTGTTCTAGGAGCCAATCTTCGACACGAACGGGTCGGCTCGACCGCACGTGATACCATGACTTCACAGAAAACCGGCGTAAAACAACCGCAGCGTTTTTCACGGAGGACGGAAGCTTTACATAGGTTTAAAGAACTTTATTTCTCATAAGAACAATGGTTCACTTAAAATGAGATTAACAATATTAACTTATAGCTAAATTTACAGCGCTTTGGCTTCACTATAAATAAACAGAGGGTACAACAACAGTGAGGCAGACAAATGTTAAGAAGTCGTATAATATTATTGTGTTAAGAATATTGGTTACGGATATGATTTCTTAGTAGTTTTTTGTATTTATTTAATTTTGTACATATTTTAATATCATTACGTAGGTTATTGTACAGTTTTACTCCGTCATACAGAATGTTCTTCTTACCATAGGTTAGTGTGCGTGGTTGAGTTATTTCTAATTTGTATCTGTTTCTTAAGTAGTGTTTGTACGTTTTATGTGTGAATTTTATGTTGGAGTGAATGTTGCCTGTGATAATCTTTTTTACGAGGATGCAAGTGTTGAGTTGATATAATTGCGTAATGTTGAGGAAGTTAGTCTTAGTATACAAATCTTTTGTAGGTGTTAAGTAGTTATAATGAAATAATGTTTTTATAATTCTGTTTTGTGTTGTTTGTAACTTTTTTAAATTTGTTTTGGTAGCTGCTCCCCATATTTCAACTAAGTATTCTAGATGCGGCCTTATTAGCGAGTTATAGATTTGGGTACGTACTTTCCGTGGTATGCAATTGGACACTTTCCGGAGTGCGCCTAGTATTGAACTCAGTTTGGACCTGACATGCGCAATATGCGCATTCCAAGTCAATCGGTCATCCAAATGAAGGCCAAGATATTTTTCTTGTCTTGATCTATTTATAGTATTGTTATTTATTGTCAATGGGGTAAAATTTTGTAATTTCTTATTTTTTGCAGCAAAGATCATGTAAGAAGTTTTTGATGTATTAATAGTAAGCAGGTTATACAGGAACCACTCGTTGAGTATGTTCAAATCATGTTGAGCATTGGCTATAATGTCTTGGATTGAGTTGCCAAAGTAAAATAAGCAAGTGTCGTCTGCATAAACCGTTAATTGACCAGTTAGAGATAGATTTTTAATATTATTAATATAAATCAAGAACAGTAAGCTTCCTAGTACCGATCCTTGGGGAATACCACAGTCGACACTTTGCATTCCACTCTGAAAATCTCCTATTTTTACGGTTTGGTACCTATTACGCAGATAAGATGTAAAAATACTCAGAGCTTTCCCGCTTATACCTATATTGCTTAGCTTTTGTAGAAGTTTAATGTGACTTACAGTGTCAAACGCTTTTTTTATATCAATAAAAACACCGAGAGCTGTTTGTTTTTGGTCGATGCAGGTTTTTATTTTAGTAACCAAGTCAACAGTCGCTGAAAGTGTGTTCGATTTTGGCCTAAACCCGTATTGTTCTTCTATTAGGAATTTTTTTTCTGTAAGATATTTGTTTAGACGAGAATATACAATTTTTTCGAATAATTTGGAGAGCACTGAAAGTACCGATACTGGCCTGTAGTTTCCAGGGTCACTTTTAGCACCAGACTTGTAAATTGGACTTACCTTGGCAATCTTCAGTGAGTCAGGAAATGCGCCTTCCTCCAGGCACCTGTTAATGCATTCAGTAAGACTCGGAGCAATTATATTTTTAATGCATTTGATAGCCTTGGTACTAATACCGTCAACACCAGTACTCGTATTATTGTCTAGGTTGTTAATTATTCCTATAACCTCTTGTACAGTGCATGGTGCAAACTCATCTAGTGTAGTTGTATGTTTGTGGTCAGATTTGTACATTAAGGTGTTAACTGTATTAGCATGATATTTTACGTCTATTTGATTTGCCAGTAGAGAGCCTATAGAAGAAAAGTATTCATTAAATGCATCACATATTGAGATACCCTCTGTTATAACATTCGAGCCAATGATAAGTTTCGAAGGGGCACAATTGTCTTTCACCTTGTTCCTAGCTAGTGTATTAATTAATTCCCAGGTTTTTTTCGGCTTCTTAAGATTTTCTTGGAATAGTTTGTAATAGTATTCTTTTTTTGTGTTTCGTATAGTTGTATTAACTTTTTCTCTTTCTTCTTCAAACTTATTTTTAATATCCAGGTTTTCTATGTCTGTCTTTCTTTGGTGCCATAATATGTTTCTTTTATTTATTGAGTCTAATATATTTTTATTTATCCAGTCCTTTTGCGGTGGATTGAGTATCTTAGTTTTAGTTATTTTGTTTCTTGAGATCTGTGTTTTTATAAGATCCTCTAGGGTGCTAAAAAGGTTGTTGTCATTCTCGTATTGAGCTTCAGAAATACATTTAAGTAGGTTATTATAGTCCAGTGCCTCATACTGCACTCGTTCATTTGTTCGCACTTCAGATTTAAGGAGCTCAAAGTAGATGTGCTTATGATCTGATAGCGATGATTCAATTATAGATATCGAAAATCTTTTGTTGGTTAGATTAGTGCACACATGGTCGAGGATAGTTTTTGTGTTAGCTGTTGCGCGAGTACAGTAATCAATGTCTTTCTTATTTATAATTTCGTATCCTTCCTCCTGCACGGTATCTAAATATTGCTTGACATAGTTCTCCGATCCGAGTAAGTCGATGTTGAAATCACCAACAACTATCGTCCTTCTCCTTCTTTCCAATTGTGGTGCGTATGTATCCAAGAAAGCTTTGACATCTGTATCTCCAGGTTTATAAATTACGCCAATGTTTAAGTCATACTTTTGTAAATATATCCACAAATAATGATTATTATTTTCATATTGATTGTCTGTTATCTCATAAGAAATACTGTTGTGTATAAAGATTGAGACGCCACCTCCTTTTCTGTCAGGTCTAAAATTAACAATGTGAGTATAATTTGGTAGTTTAAATAGATTTGCATGTTCTTCAGATGTAAGCCAAGTTTCGGTGAAAAGTAAGATATGTGGTATTTTAGGGATTGCCTGAAGAATACATTTTATCTCATCGAACTTGCCTGGTGTACATATACTCCGTAAGTTTGCATAGAACATTCTTAAAGATGATGAACTGGTCGGAATTTCCTGGTATTTGTTTACTAAGTAATAATTTGATTCTGCATGCTTGCTATTGTTCTTATTTCTTGTATTTATTGAGGTAGATATTAGTTTTTTAGATTAGATTTATTTTGTAATATTTTGGGCATTCCATTTACATACTTGATAATCAAGTTTTCTTCGCCATTTTCCTTACGATTATGCAATTCTTGTTTTAAAGACTCCATAAATGCTTTTTGCGAAGGCGTTTGATCAGAATAAATACGTATGTTGTCTGGTAATTTTGACTTGTTCTTTAGTAATTGCTTGGGGGTAACATTGTTATCAAAGTATACCTTTAACAGTCGGCTTTTGTTGGGATCGTACTTCCCTAGGCGCATAGACTTGATGTGCTTAGGACAGTTTTCGTATAGCATCGTAGTAAGTTCAATAATTTTTTCATTATCATAATTACGCCTGACGGTGGATTTTTTGTCGAACGTTTCGGGTATACCTGCAATAATTATATTTTTCTCGCGCTCACAACGGTCTTTGAATTCCAGCATGAGGTTTTGTTGAACATCGAAGGGCGATTGCCCGTTTTGTGTACTTTTTGTTTGCAAGATATTGTTTTCAACACTTTCGATTTTACTTTGAGACATAGCGATATTATATTTTAATTCTTTTACTTCCTCCTTAACTTTAAATAAATCATCAGATAAGTTATCCGTTACCTTCTTAATATTTTTCATTTCCTCCTTCAGTTCGACTACTACATTGCGTATTTGCTGCAAGTTTTCATTTTGAGTTTGGTTAAATTTCTCTAATAAATTCATAATATCCTTCCGAAATTGCATAAAATCGTTTTTATATTCCATTTCAAAAGTACGGTCCTTGCGTTTCCTGGAATTCGCATTTACAAAAGAATCTTCATTTGTATCTATACAAGTTGTTAAGTTAGGCGTTGAACAGCTGCTATTAATTCCGCTACCGCTCATCAGTGAAGTATCAGGCGGCGTTTTTTGCATGGCTATCGCAAACCTGTTGTGTAGTAAGAGCGAGACAAAAAAATTGGAACTGTCTCTTTTACCCGTACGTGTGCACTGCAGCGATGCGGCGCGTGCCGCTTGTTACGAAGAAAAAGGTCTTATTTCGCGTTTTACCGGTTGAGGCAAATTGCACTGTAACTGTATCACAATAGCACTGACTTTTCACTGTTTTGGTTTATAATATTTTTGTTAGATTTTAGCCAACCTGCGTACACGTCTGCTTACTCGAAGCGCAAGCGCAAGATGAATCTGATTACATACTTGATTACATCCCCCCACAATTCCATATACCCAAAACCCCAAACTAAAATGTTAACAACGCACTTGGAATTACTCTGGATTTCTAGCTGGCTGACTGATTGCTTGCCATCAAGTAATCCTTGCCATCAAAATTTAACGACATGGCCCATAAAAAAAACCTTACAGAATTGTAGGCTATTGTTTATTTCTAAATTAATTCTACTCATGCCCCAACAAGCGGTGCCTTTTATAGAAAAAATGACAAATAATAGTCATCTATATGTACGTAGTTATGTTTATATACAAATATATTTCAGCATGGTTAAATAATGAACGCTTCAAAAGTACTCATTCATTCAATTAAGATAAAACAGAATCAGATTTTAAGTTTAACACAAAGGCGATTCGGCATCTCGTTGGAAATTTATGAAGTCCTAAGTTTTGGTGGTCGTCAAATTGAATATTCAATGGTTCTGCGAAGTGAACTGTCCACCTTTTTGTTTTTCGTTTTGTAAATCAGTATTATTAAGACTTTTGTAAGGACGGGACTTAGGAGAATCAAACAAGATGTTGTTGGTTACACGTTACGTTTATTAATGCCTCTCTACCTAAAAGATACAATGTTATATTCTTATAGACTAATGATTACTTACTACGTCACACGCCCTCTCAAAAAAGGAAAAAAAAAAAATGTAAACTATAAAAACATTTTTTTTTTTTTTTTTTTTTTTTTTTTTTTAAATTTAAACATAATTCATTCAATTGTGTAGATTCAGCTTTTATACATTTTTCATTGTATAATAATTAGTTAATTGTAAGTTAGTATCCAATATCTATTTCAGTACACTTTACAATCTAAACAATAAACAATGACATCGGTACAAGTCTTCATTTGATATCGTACAATTACAAACAAAAGTGTTACAGGAATATAATCTTATTCATAATACAGTCTAGTTCTATTTTTATGAACAGTTTTTTCCTTTCCCTTAACTAAGATAACAACATTTGGAGATATGTCCTTAACTACTGAAAATGGACCTAAATATAATGGATCAAGTTTGTTACTGTTCTCATTTTTAACCAATATTAAATCACCAGTTTTATACGTTATTGGATTTATACTGCTATCATATTTACTTTTTCTAATAATTTTAGAATTAATAAGATTGGTTTTAGCATCCATTTGAGACTTTTGTATACGATATTTTAATTCAACAGCATAGTTATCAAAATTATAAATCGGATCTATTGTAGTAGTGAGGTTGGAAGGTATGTTACATTGTTTCCCGAATACTAATTCATATGGCGTAAATTTTGTACTCGAATGTACTGAAGTGTTATATGAGAAACACCAGTAGGATACCCATGAACTCCATTCCTGTGTTTGACTATTAACTTGCATTCTCAAATAAAAAGTTAAGTGTTTATGGCTATTTTCTAATGAACCTAAAGTTTGATGATGGAAAGCTGTAGATTGTAAATGATTTATATGTAAAATTGTACATACCTCTTTCATTATGCTGTTGACAAATTCGGTTCCTCTGTCGCTTACTATCTCACGGGGAATGCCATATCTAAGAATAAAATTATTTACCAGTGTTGTGGCCACCGTACGCGCATCCTTACTCGCTATCGGATACGCCTCGACATATTTGGTGAGGTCACACTGTAGTGTTAAAATGTAGTTATAGTTGTTATCTCGTGGTAAAGGACCTACTAGATCCATATATACTTTATCGAAAGCTGAATTTCCACAATCCGTTATAACCATAGGCTCTTTTACTGTATTTAAATATTTATAGTGTTGACATTTATTACATTTCATTACAAAATTAGTAACATCACGCTCTAATCCACTCCAAAAATATTTTTTACGAATATTGTTTAACATACGTCTTATCCCTGCATGTCCACTAGTAGGAAGAATATGATAATCGTTCAAAATTACTCTCTTTGTATCGTCGTCGACAATCTTTTTAACGCCTTTTACTACGCATAAGCGGGGTCCGGACCACTTAGGCAATTTATTTATATATTGAGCTAGCTCTTTTATTATTCTTACGTTATTTTCATCTTTAATTATATATAAAGTATCTATTTTTAAATCAGCACAAAATAATTCCATTTCTCTCACAGAGACCGCTCGTGTACGCTGTGATTGAGTAAATAGTTTTACATATATGGTGCGATCTGACGCCGAATACGCATAATCACCATTCTTTAAAGACACATATTTGTTAACTTTCATCCATTCTTTCTCATTCACAAATACCAATTCCGTGTAATCCTTCGGTAGTTTTAACATTTCTACAACTCTTGGGTGATCAGTCCAATCGTTTTTAGGAATATTAGCCACCGAAGTATGATTACCAGAATTTTTCTCAAGCTCCCGTCTCTTCGCTCTAGTAAGTACAGACACAATGTGTTCGTTCATCGCCCGTAATTCTTCACCAGTCACTTCTATGCGCGACAATGCATCTGCAGCTACATTATCACGCCCTTTCACATAAACCACTTTGTAATCGTACTCCTCTAGTAATAACCGAAATTTTAATAATCTACTGGAAGGATCTGTCAAGTTATACAAGTATACTAAAGGCCTATGATCCGTTTCAATAATAAATTGTCTTCCATAGAGATAAGGCCTAAAATATTTGACGGACCATACTATCGCTAACAATTCTTTTTCAATTGTAGGATATCTGCACTCGGCCTTGTTTAAACTTCGGCTGGCGTAAGCAATTGGCCTACGATCAGCATTACACAAAACTGAACCTATAGCGTACCCTGACGCATCGGTTTGAAGAATAAAAGTATTACTGTCATCAAACAAAGGATATTGTAATACCGGAGGTTTTACTAAACAGTTTTTTAACATAGAAAATGATTTCTGGCAGTTTTCATCCCAATTATAAGTTACGTTTTTACGACATAAATTGTTTAATGGTATGCAAATTTCGGCAAAATTCGGAATAAACTTCCTGTAGTAATTAGAAAATGCTACGAAACGTTTTAGTTCATCAGCGTTTTTAGGAACTGGATAGTTATTTAAAACTTTAATCTTTTCTGGATCAGGTCTTATACCATCAGCTGATACAACGTGGCCTAAATATAATATTTCTTTTCTAAGAAAATCGCACTTGTCCGGATTTAACTTTAAATTTACTTTCCTTAGCCTAGCCAAAATGTCTAATAAATTCTTATTATGTATATCTAAATTTCTTCCAAAACAAATTAAATTATCTAAATAAATAAAACACTTGTCATAATTTAGTCCTGACATCGCGACTGTCATTAAACGTGAGAAAGAACTGGGACTTGTCTTTAACCCCATCGGCATACGGGTCATCTGATACTGGCCGGAGGGTGTTGTGAACGCCGTGTACTTCCTACTGTCTGAATTTAATTTTGCCTGATAGTACGCTTGAGTTAAATCTAACTGTGAAAAATATATTGCGCCAGAGAGTGAATCTAATATATCGGTTATGTTGGGGAGGGGAAATTTATCATCCATAATGCGGTCATTTAATTTCCGAAAATCAACAACTAAACGCCAACTTTTCTTGTTATCCTCTAGTTTCTTAGGTACCAGTAGCACTGGACTAGACCACTCACTACTTGCGGGTTCTATAATACCATTGGAAAGCATTTTTTGAATCTGATTTTCAATTTCATTACGCTGTGAAAATGGCAACCGATATTGTTTAGTATAAACCGGATCCGAATTGGGTTTCAACTGAATTTCTTGTTCGTAAAGGTTACAAGTGCCTAATTTATCTCCCGGTAAGTAAAATACGTCAGCAAATTTTGCACATATGTTTTGTATACTTATGGATTCTTCTTTGTTCAAGTGTTGTAATTTTATCAACGATAATAATTTCCTAACTCTTTCGCCGCTTAAATTTTCCTTTTCGAATGCACACATATTATAATAAGATAAACGATCAATGTCAGGTTTAAAATAACTAAGTTGAACTTCTGTTTCACGTGTATTTAAAATTTGTATTAATATCTTTCCCTCCTTGGGTTGACAGATACTTCCAGCAATAAATACACCGTCGCATAATTCTCTCGGAAATACAACGCAAGCCTCACTCTCAAAACAATGAACTTGGAAAAATTTTTCACACCTTGGTGGTACTGTAATAAATAAGTTTTTACCTAATTTCCCTAATTCTAAACTGGTTGTAACTGAACTATCGCATTCATTTATTGTCAACGTGTTATGTTCATAATTTAAAACACAATTGTACTTCTTTAAAAATTCTTGCCCAATTATACCGTCTTGAATACAAGGTAGATTCTTTAGAACATAAAACTTATGTTTGAATTCTTTTCCACATATGGAGAATGGTATGTAAACATAACCGTCGGTGGTCGATTTGCCACCAATACCATTAATGGTAATGCATTCTGGTTGTAGAGGAATATTCCAGTCTCTAATCGTTTCATATTTCACCACTGACAAAGAGGCTCCCGTGTCAACTAACATTCTATATTTAGAATCGAATATTGACAATTCTACAAAGTTATTATAGTTACATGTTAAAATAAAGTTAGGATCGAAAAAACTCTAAATCTAAATTTTGATTGCTTGTCGACGCGCCTTGAATATCATTTCTCGACTGATCTAGCAAATAAGTATTATGCCTGTTATTGCGATTATAGTTTCCCGAATTCGTAGCCTGACTGTAATTACGTCCACGTCCTCGCGGATTGTTAACAAAACTTCTTGCGCGTCCTCGGTAATAAGTCCTAACAGGTACCTGATTCCTCGGAGGCGGTTGCGGTGTCGACCTATAATAATTACGATTCGGAATATAAACACGTCCTCGGCTTTGTCCTCTATAAAATTGATTATACTTACCTCGATGCTGAGCCGCAAAGACTGTCTCCGCCGATGTGCTGTGACCTTGGTGCGCCCGTTCCTCATCTTTAGCCGCACGTATAACATCTTTCAGTTCTGAGTAATCTCTAGCCGTTAAAATGGTACTCAATCGACCATTTCTCAAGCCTTCTGTAAACCGCTGAATAGCTAGTTTTTCATTTACAGGTCTAAACATTTTATACGCGTCTTCTTTACCGTCCGCTTGAGATATAGTCAATTCAACAAATAAGTCCTCAAGTTTCTTACCAAATTCTTCAATGCTTTGGGACCCTTGTCGAGACTGCAATAGCTCCAACTGAAGCGCCGTGGCAGACTGCTTCGTCAGCAAATTATTTTTCATGTCCTTTATAAGATCTGCGGAAGTATCATAGTTAGATGCCAAACGTAATTTGGCATGTCGGGATATGCGAGTTTTAAGAACAAAGGATATTAATAAAGATTCATGCTCTTTCTTAATGTTTTGGCTATAAAATTCAAGAGCATCTATTAATTTTTTAGTACATTCCTCCTCTCCTGTCATCACAGGTAGAAGAGAAGATGCAGTTTTCATGTCAAACTCAGTCATGGTGTTCACGGTACTTAGGCTTTGTTCGTTCTCTAAACAAAAATTCTGAATTCTTTGATAATATGACTCTATTTCCTCACAAATAATCAAAATATATTTTAATTCCTCCTGCTTAACATAACCTTTAGACACCTTTATATCTAATTCACTACGACATGTAATATATTTATCATATAAACCATTCGCTTCTAAATATTTTTGCTCTAACACTTTCTTTGTTCTTTTAACTTTACTTAATTTTAGTAAATTGACTTTAATATTTTTAATTAATGTGTGAATATCTATTAAATCAGACATTTAACCCTTAACTCATGAAAAATAAATGAAGTGGGGCAACATAAAGAAACCTATTCTAAATCTTAACTAAAATACCTCTGTCCATGCCGTACACTTGAAACACTTCACACACACATTTTCACTTTTACCGTAACATATGAAGACTCTCTTATCCGATGTCTGCCTTTGTCTAGCCGAGTTTTACTCAAGGCTAAACGCTCTCGATATTGGACTCTTTGCTCCTTGGGTCACGCCTTGGGCCAGAACGCCTAAAAGCACTCCTGGCTATCTCCGCTCGCATCCAGTCTACGTGACAGCGTTTATACAGCTTGTATACTCCAAACCAAACTCCAATAGTCAGGATGACCAACATCGCACCCAGTATAAAATTGGTCACTGACTGATTTTGATGTAGTTGGGCAACATCAGCAGCATTTACGCCACCTGCGGCGTTTTGCGCAATCACAACTTCTTTACTTTGTGGTTTTCCCATTGTCAGAATCAAAATTACGCACCAAACTTATAACTTTGTCCGAACAATAACGCAATACAATAGTTTTTTCCCTCATGTCACTACGCGCGATTTACTGAGCCCGGAATCCGACACCGAACCTTAAATGGCAGGGTCGCCATGTAAGGACGGGACTTAGGAGAATCAAACAAGATGTTGTTGGTTACACGTTACGTTTATTAATGCCTCTCTACCTAAAAGATACAATGTTATATTCTTATAGACTAATGATTACTTACTACGTCACACTTTGGCTAAGGTAGTAGTTGGCAGATAGGGCTATCGTTAGGTATTTGGGTGATTCTTCACATCAATTAAAAAAAAATTAATAATGTCACTATCCTCAACCGAAAATTAACGAGTCTGCTGATTAAAACACAGATAATTATTTTATTAAATTAAATCTCACCATTGCTTACAAGCAACCGATTAAAAATATTGTATAAAATAAATTACTAAGATGCTTAAAAACCTGGGAGGATAATGACTTGTTAAATAAAAGTTAAGGTTTTTTGGAGAATCACCCATTTCCATGTTGAAATTTAGAAATTACGAATTATCAATATCACTCTTACGAGGCAGGAGTTGCAGCGATTTTGGGTGGGTTATGAGTGATTGAAGAGGTTTTATGTGTATAATACCTAACATCCAGTAAATAGTGGAGAAAACTAGTACAAGCATTGGACCCGTGCGAAGCCGGGACGTGTCTCTAGTTAAGACTAAATCAACAACATTAAACAAAAGGATCCACTTTAAGAACCGCGGGTTTATTATAATTGAATACTAAATGGGCCGTTTAAATTGAAAAACAAAATAAACAAATTTATAATCTTCGTAGTCCAACAATTTTGTAAATATTTAAACTGTTTCATAAATCAGGTTAATATTACATTTTTTATATTGTTTGTTCGAAATATTGAACGTTTGCCACTGTCTGGGCTAAATTGTACTAAGGCTAGGGGCGTACCGACCACTGAACAAGACGGAACAATAATAAGGAGACCCTGGGCCACATTATATGTAAGGAAAAGTTAACCTTCCAATGGTTATTGCGAGCTGCGAGATTTTTATCAATTATTTCCTTTACTTCAACAGAGAACACCTTGGTTCAGTGGCCCAATCCTTCCCCTCCCCCAATCCCTAACTCTCCAAATACCTAATTCCCAAAAGATCAGCATCGCACATGGGCGGCGCTGATTGCTTACCATCAGGTAAACAGTCTGCTCGTTTGCCGGTCTATAAATCAGAAAAAAAAATTGGTTGTAAGAGACCGGCGTTTAACGATTAACTATGACTTTTGTTAAACCGGCATCCTGCGTTACGTTTTTCAATATGAAGAAAAATTATATTGTACTAGCTTTTAGCCGCAACTCAATTCCGGTGGAATAGCGACTTCCTGAAGATTTTTGGTATAAAAACTATCCTACTATACTAACTATATGTCCTTTTTCGAGTTTTAAACTATGTCTATACCAAATTCCACAGAAATCGGTTCAGTAGTTTAGGCGTGAAGAAAAGACAGACAGACAGACAGAGTTACTTTCGCTTTTATAACATTAGTTTGGATTTGTCTAGCCACGATAGCTATCAATTATCCAAATTGTGGAAAACCCTATATTTTTACTTCCAAACAAAATTTTTGTGACATAATACATTATCATAAGGCCGCAGGTTTTAGTCACATCATCGGCCTATATGTGCACTTTGCTGAGCAAACGCATCTTCTCACTAGGAGAAAGTTTGAGCATTTATCACCACGCTTGCTCAGGTGGATAGTCAAATTCTTTCCTTTCGATGTTTTCTTTCACCGTGTGTCAATGCTGTGTAATTAATCTTAGAAATAACATAATTATATATTTGGTAAAAGTAAGACTGGTACTCGACATGTTTCGAACCCATACCAGCCATCAAGCATGAGAAGCGGGCGCCTTAAATCTGGGCCACCACGATAATAGGAGTTAGTATAAAACACTTCAACAATTTGAGAACCTTTCCCATTTTATCTCGAAATCCCAAATCTCCAAATCTCGAAATCCCTAATCTCAAAAAAAAAAACAGCAATGCACTCGTAACTAATCTGTTGTTGCTGGTGTCCATGGGCGGCGCTGATTGCTTACCATCAGGTAATCGGTCTGCTTGTATGCCTATATCACCTAGCAGACAAAACAAAATTGTGCCATTTGATAGACTACAATAGCTAAAAATATGTTTCTATGAAATACTGTTAGTGTGCGTGAGTTATGGCTGCGTTGGCAAACTGCCGACAAGTGCTGCAGTCATTCAACAATGACTGGTTGAGGCAAATAGACACTCAAATAAGCAGATATTCCCTCAAAAAGAAAGTGCTACAAATGTTAAATACAGAGTTCTCTAATAATGTTAGCTAACGCACATAGGTAACTTCTTCGATCTTTTAGTTTAAATTAATTACTCTTTAGTTTTATTTTATTCTTTGATTTTGTTTTTGTCTACTGTTTTTCCTGATTTGTTCCGATTTTTTAAATATGTATATGTAAACGATGCTATAACGAGCGCTATTCCCGCCGTCAAACTGTCTAAACAGTTTGGTGGGTCTATATTGTATAAAGTTTTTTGTTAACACCAATAAATGATTTAATTATTATTATTATTATTCGTTATACGGACAACTTTACACTATTTTTTAGATTAATGTAGGTTTTAACTTAGTTTTGAAGCTACTTATAAACCGGAGTGTGGTACTCTATAGCTTACCAACTTACTATTTAATGTCATCTTTCAGCAAACGAGCATATTACCTGATGTTAAGCAATCAGCGCTTCCCTTATACACCCGTTACACCATAGGAGCCACGACTGCGTTGCTGGCCTTTTAGAATTTGAGGGGGTTGCGGGTATAGGGGACTATTTTTTAGATTAATGTAGGTTTTAACTTAGTTTCGAAACTACTTATAAACCGGAGTTTGGTACTCTATAGCTTACCAATTTACTATTTTATGTCATCTTTCGGCAAACGAGAGTATTACCTGATGTTAAGCAATCAGCGCTTCCCTTATACACCCGTAACACCATAGGAGCCACGACAGCGTTGCTGGCCTTTTAGTATTTGAGGTATGGGGTTAGGGGAAGTGTTGGTCCTCCGATAACCTGACTCACACGGCGAAACACAACGCTGTGGTTATTTCACACAAGGTATTCTGTGAGGCCTTGATCACTCCAGTCGGTCCGACCCATGGCATTCGTGCCGAAGCATGGCTCTCCAACACTTAAATTTGACCATGTATTGTGACATAATTTTATCAATAAGCATGCAAAGAAATAATATAGAGAATGCCACAATTTTCGTTTTTCTATCATGACTAACCTATTTATGACTAATTATATACCAATAACACACGGGGATTTTGGTCACACTGCACTCAGCTATTTAACCTTGAACGTTAAGAAATGATTTTTAATCCATTCATATCCTCAGATTTCGATTTCAATTTGTTTGAAAAATGTTAAATTCAATAAGAAAATGCAATCAATTTTATGGTAGAAATTTTTAATTGTTTCCAATGTGCATTGAACAGTAGAATAGTCGCGTATCAATGTTTCAACAACTACATGTGAAAATATGTGTGATCATAATCCTAGACCTTCTACACATAGCATGGTCCTACCGAGTGCACCATCTGGACGCCAATGAAGCAAATCAAGTGGTGCCGATGCTGAGGCGAGTCCTACAAGGCTACGAAATACCGAACTATGCGGAAGTCAGGCTGCGGAAAAGCCGACACAGATTCCAACCCGTGGGCAAGTCAATATTCGTGAAGAGGATCATCCCTCACGGGTACAAGACGGGAGAATACGAGTATGACTCCCGGCTGAACACTGTGTTCAAACCTCTGTTTAGGTACCACGTCGGCACGCCCAGTACTGAGCACGAGAGGTCGGTGGTGAGAGGGCAAGAGTCTAAGCAGTCGAACGAAATCAGCCCCCTGATCTTGCTTCTGATGAAAGAACGAAAGCCCTTGCAGTCTGAAAAACTGAAGCAGAATTGGCTTCTACTCAAAAGCAAAAAGGCCAACAGGAAGAGAAAGAGATTTAGTGGTTTATTAAACTTAAAAAAAATTAAGGCCAAACCACATCTGCTACGGCATTTGGAGAAATCAGGAGAAAGGTACGAAGCATCCTCTAATGGTGTTGACCCGAACGCTGAGCAACAAGCAACAGCTGAAAAAAAAGCAGAT